CCCCAAAACCCCAAAACCCCAAAACCCCGTCAGAATATATGATTACTGATTATAGAGATGTAATAATGCATAATGTATTATAATAATTAGAATTCAAAATGAGATATAATCGCGTTAGATTATTGTTAACGCTTGCTTTATTATCACTAGGATGTTCCTAGTAAAGAATACAAATCTAAGATAATTAGGATAGGCATCTTCTACATGAATTACTAAGCAAAAGAAATATAGAATAAGCCGTTTCGTAAACAGACGATAACTAGAAAGATATTCATACATACAGGCCTAAATTATCTAAGAGAAGTGAATCAGAAACTTATTTAAATGATTAGAAATAAGATAATGGATTGTAGGGATAATCTAGTGATAATTAGCAGATAACAATGAATTAGGGGCAGCAATAGATTAGTCCAAATGACCACTAGTAGTAAAATGATAATTAAGGCTAAAACAATGGTTAGTATTAAAATACAGCAATACCTGAGAATGAAATCATTCATATTCATATGGTGTGTCATTCTCATTAAGATGTCGGCTGGCTAATGACTCCTGAAAATTATTACAATTACAAAGTGAAATAAATCATTACTAGTGTTGTCAAAGTCTTGATTACTGACACCACCAAGAAGTTTTCTCAGACAGAGATTTACTACTTTGAAAAATGGTATCATGAATAAGATGAAGCCACTCGTAAGCAAGTAAAGTAGTTAATAAGCGAGGGGAGACTGGAATTCATAAATGGTGGATGGGTGTCGAATGATGAGGCATGTCCAACTTATGAGGAAATCATCATCAACTTCATGACAGGGCATAGCTTTTTAATGAAAGAGTTTGGCATCTCAACTAAGATAGCGTGGCATCCAGATTCATTCGGGCATTCAGCAGCTACACCTGATTTGATGCTCGATCTTGGAATGGAAGCTATATTCTTTGCAAGAGTTGATGAGGAACTTAAAAACTACTTCAAAAACAACTAGTCTTTGGAATTCTACTGGAAGCCCAAACTCTAAGGACCAAATGGCTAGTATTAAAATTAAAGAGGGCTATTTACGCATGTTATGCACTAAGGCTATGATGGAGGCTGTGGCTTTAATATTCTGACTGATCTCGACAATGAAGCTTACCTACAATCATCAAATAAAAGACTAATATAAGAGTTTAAGGTATAAATGCATCAGTACATCACTTGCATTGAGCAGTATGCAGTCCATTACAAGACAAAGCACATACTATTCACGCTTGGAACTGACTTTGCATTTCAGTTCGCACATACCACGTATAAGTATATAGATGAATTAGTAAGCTTATTTGAAAAAAGTCCAAGTGGTAAAGCTTTCTCGTTTAAATACTCCACTGTGAGGGAGTATTTAGATGCAATTGTGCTTGAATAAAAGACATAAGATTTTGAGTGGCCTGTCTACGAATACGACTTCTTTCCTTATAATGGGAATTTTCAAAGTCACTACTGGACTGGTTTCTACTCTTCCAGACCAAACTTCAAACAGCTGATTCGATATACGAGCACCTAAACCTTCCTGAGCAACTAGATTTATGTAGTAAATTATTTCTTAGAAAGCAAATCCGATACAGATAGGATTAACACTTAAAAATCAATGACATAGGCAAGACTTATTAATCAATAACTTGCAACACTGATGCATCATGATACAATCACAGGTACTTCTCCGCAGAGAATTATAATAGAAGAATAACTATCATTATCATTAAGGCTAAGTGATAACTCATACATTCTTGTTTAAATTATAAAATCTCTTGTGCAGTTGGGAAGTGGTATCTTGATTGATGATTTGATGCATTGCTTGTACTATATTGATCAGAGAAAAATTTGTCCTGCCCAGATGATTAAGGAAGACTTATTGTATTTTGTGGTTTACAACCCATCACTTTAAATCCAAGATCATATTCATCTCACTCGAGGAAATTCTAATTTCAATGCATTTGTGTTTGGTGAAAATCATAATATGGAGCCAGTTGAAAGTGAAAAATTTTGCTATTCTAATGAAGATTTCTTCAAAGAATGTGATATTTACATCTATCAAGAAGTATATCCATTCAGATATGCACTAATCATGCTTCAGAAAGCACCAGATACAAATAATGAAATTGAAGGTCTTGGATTTGGAGATTATGAGCCAATATTTAATGAAACTATGCTCGAAGAAGAGGGTGACTCGGTTGGCTATAACTACAGTGATCAATGTGATCCTAAAATATTATTCATTCAAAATAAAATTATCAGACTGGAAGTGATTAAGTGTACAGAGCATGCCATTTAGTTCAACTATATAAGATTTCAAGACGATATTGAGCATAAGTTTGAGTTTGAATTCAGGTATTATTTGCCTGTTTTCAATGGCAGGAAAAAGAACAGTGGTCTATATGTATTCAAGACAGAGGATTAAGATTCAAGACCTTATGATCATAGACTTACAGGAATTGAAGCATTTAGAGGAGAATTAGTGGAAAGGATCATAATAAATTTTAAACAGTTAAATGGAGAAATTTCCTAGATTAAGATTTCATTAGACAATGATGAAACGGATGAATTAGAGTTTGATGTATTCATGGCCAGAATTGACAGGAAAGAATTCTCAAAAGGAAAGGAGGTGACCATTAACTGGAGAAGCATAGATATAGACAACTAAGGCATATTCTACACAGATGCTAATTCTTATAAGATAGTCAAAAGAGACATAGAAAGAGATACATACAGAAGTTATCTTTCTGCTGAAACCAAATTGAGTTCACCTCAAAAGTATTTTTATCCAGTTACATCAGGAATGTTCATTGAAGACGTCTAATAAAAGAATTTTATGGTTGTTATGAATGATAGATGCTAGGGTGGCTCAGTCTATAAATAAGGTAGATTAGAGTACCTCCTTAATAGATATGGAGTAACTACTGATGAACTTGGACTTAATGAAGGAATGAATGACCTCACCTCTGATTATACTGGTCCAAACATTACTGCCTAGTTTTGGCTTAGTTTTCCTGTCAATAAAGAATAAGTTTTTAGGAAAATATTTATGAGACATGCACTTAATCAAAATATGCCGATAATTTTATACTCTAAGATATTCACTACTCTATATAGACTTAAAGATAATGAAGGCTTTGATATAAATCATAAGATTTCTCATAAATTTAGAGCGATGGTCAATAAGTATGAGATTTTAGATGCAAAAATCATCCCTGATGAAAATATGAGAGATTTTTTCTTTAGAGTTACAAGATTTTCTTAAAGCATTAAATTACCTAAAGATTTTGTTGATTAGATGTTTATGCAAGCAACTGGTTAATAATTCGTCTAATTAAAACACATCAGACAGGTCAAGCTTGCTGGTGAACTAATTTTTGATAAATATGAGTAATAAGACACCCCTTATCTGGCTGTTGAACTCTATAAATTAGTAGTTTGATAATACATAAATATTTTCGCTTTTGAATTATTTCTGCATTGAGGGGTTTTGGGGTTTTGGGGT